ATGTATATATATGTATATATAAATTATATATATATTTATATCCATGTATGTATGCATACACATACAATATATATATATATATATATATATTATATATATATATATATATATATATATATATGTAAGTGTGTGTGTACGTATGACTATATTCATATATTAAAAGGAAACAGCCAAAAGAAATGTAATTCCTCTCCTGATGAGAAATACTTGACGTATATACATATATATATATATATATATATATATATATATATATATATGTATGCATGCATATATATACATAAATGTATAATATAATATATATATATATATATATATATATATATTTATATATATATAATATATGTGTGTGTGTGTGTGTGTGTGTGTGTGTGTGTGTGTGTATAAATGTTATATATATATATTATGTATGTATATATATAATATATGTATATATATGTGTGTGCACATACATATTTACACGCGCACATACATATACACGTGTATTAGACTAAGCAAGAAACCCAAAAATATGCTTATTTAAGTTTCTAGAAGCATTTTTGAGTAAAAGCAAGCAAATAGGTCTAGCTGGAGTGGTTTTTCGTGCTGAATACGAATTTTGTTTGCCAAGGCTGGGAATGCCTAATTAGGTTAGTAATTAAGGTCAAAGGTCAATGAGTGATTTTTTTTTTTTTTTTGCAAAAATGCTCTATTGGATATTCTCCATACAAATATATAAAAAAAATTGTCAATATATTGAAGAATAAACTCTACACAGGTCATCCAAAATTCAAATATAAAGGAAAACATGAAGTAGATTTGAGCTTTGATGGCGAATATCTCCTTAACGGTAAGACTTTTAATATTCTATAACGGGCCTGCGTTCCCTTTGTTTTCAGACAGTATAAAGTGCAGTAAAGTAGGATTTTTTGCGTTGTTTTGAAGTTTCGAATTCTGTGGTCATTTTTTAATCCATTTATGGTCAATAGTTTTCATAATTAGGCGTACTATTAAGGGAAGTTAAATGAGTGCATGATTTTTTTTTTCTTGCAAAAAATGCTTTATTTGACATTCTTCATACAAAAACGCAACACATTTTTCAATATATTGAAGGATAAGGTCTACGGATGTCATCAAAATTTTAAAATCAAAGGAAAACCTGAAGCAGATTTGAGCTTTTTTGTTGAATATCTCCCAGGATCAGGTATTGGACATCATTCAGTCTCTACCCTATGTTCATCCAAAATCTTCCCTCACGTGCTGCCATCTATCTGAAGCTGTTCTAATCCCATTAGCCTTCTATTATTAGCCTCCTCCATGCCAAGTGCCCTTTGCTTTGCCATTTTGTTGCTTGTTGAAACACCCTTTGCCCCATTCTGAGAAACCAGGAAAACACATTTAAAGCATTGCAGCTGCACAAAAGGCGGCATAACCAAGAGCTGCTCATGGCGGAAGTGGGGAGACCAGCCATGTACTGATGCCTGTAAGTGCAGGGAAAGTGAGACACCTTGCAGAAATAGGGCTAAGTAGACGTGAACGCTGATGCCAACATGCTTGGTAATACCCTATAATTTAGTTCTTAAAGTCTTACGTCACCAATTCAGGGAACGAAAATAACCAGATGAGCGACCCCTCCTCCCCCCCCCTCCAACGGTAGGGGGCAGGGCTTAGGAATTGGGACATGCCACAGGGTGTTATCTCTTCAAACAATAGGGTCTGCAGCTTTCTTTGACAAAATCATATATACCAAGAATTAGTATATGGTCTGAAAAAACTATTTTCCGTTTATAATTCCGTGATCGTTACAAACTGTAAATTTGCACTCCTTAACCTTTCCCCAATTATACCGCTAATTAAGAAAACTTTGGAATGCAGATGGGCTTAAAAATGGTCTCTAGTGTGGAAGACCCTCACTGCATTTTTTTACCACATAAAACAAAAAGGAATGCAGCCTAGTGCCGTTAAGATATTTGTCTTTAAATCTCAAATCTGCTTCAGGTTTTCTTTTAATCTGGAAATTCTGATGACCTATGTAGAGTTTATGTTTCAAAATAAAGAAAATCTGTAGCATAAAGGAGTTCAGAATGTCAAATGAAGCATTTCTTAAAAATACGCATTTTTAGAAAAAAAAAAAAACTTTGGCCTTTCCTTAATTATATGACTAATTAATAAAGCTTTGGAATATGAAGGGTTTCAAATTTGTTAGATTGCATGACTTCAAACTAATGTAAAAAAAAAAAAAAGCCTATTTTACTACACTTTTTAATGCTTGAAACAAAAGCAACGCGACCGTGTCACAAAATATCAAAAGTCTTACCGTTAAGGAGATATTCGCCATCAATGCTCAAATCATGTTTTCCTTTAAATTTTAATTTTGGATGACCTGTGTAGAGTTTATTCTTCAGCATATTGAAAAATCTCTTATATATTTGTATGGAGAATATCAAATAGAACATTTTTTGCGAAAAAAATGCTCTCGTTGACCTTTGACCTTAATTACTGACCTAATTAGGCATTTTCAGCCTTGGCAAACAAAATATTCGTATTTAGCACGAAAAACCGCTCCAGCTAGACCTATTTGCCCACTTTTACTCAAAAATGCCTCTAGCATTCACATTTTGAGAAAACATGACTAGAGTCTGCTTTCCTTCCTTCCAAAACCAGTTCTCCAAAATGCAGGAAGGAGCCCTTTCTTCGGTTTCGATTCCTTCGAAGCGGTTCCCCGAAACCATGTCCACGGAGGAGTTCGGCTGCGAGGTTTGTCTCAGGCTGCATTTCGAGAGCTCGGTGCCGTTCGTGGCTCTCTGCCTGGACGATTCCGGCCGCCTATTCTTCCTGGTGGATACGGGCGCGCATTGGACATCCATCCCTGGCGTCTGGTTGAAGGAGCTCGGGGCAGAGGAGGCCGTCCAGCCTGACAACCGCTCATAGGACGTCGGCTTCGTCTCGTTCCCAGTTCTCAGCGACGATGGCGAGCTTCTGTCGGATGAATTTCGCTTCGACCTCAAGCCTGACATACCGTTCGGGATGCTGGGACTCGACCTCCTCAAGACCGGGAGACGCCTGCTCGACCTGCGCCCCGAGACCCCGTACTTGTTCGTTCACCAAAATGTCAGGAACACCCCCACGCGCGCGATAGTGATGGAGACGGTCGAAATCAACGGCGTCGGTCCTGGCACAGCTGGACACTGGGTATTCTCGCCTGCTTCTCTGTACCGCAGAGCACGCGGAGGAGCTTAAACTGCCTCTGGAGGAGCTGGGGGAACCCGTTCCTGCCATTACTCCAAAGAGACGAAGTTCCATCACCCCCTTTCTTAGGGAGGTGCAGGTGAAGAGGCAGGACAACCAGGCGAGTGGAGTGGCCGCCGCCTTGTATGATTCTGTAGTGCCTGTCGTCGCAAATCCATTCCTCCGAGGCGCCGCGGTCAGAGTCTACGGAACGGCCCCTGTGACATCACCCTCCCCGCTCCAGGACCGAGAGGGCAGGGGGCGGGGTCCCGTCAGAACAAGGGGAAGGCAACAAAGCGTGAACAGAGGATTAGTTATGTGTAGGAATAGATGCATTGTATGCACTGTAGGTACTTAAATAAATCTATGGATGTAGATGTAAATATAAAAGGAATAGAGAAAAAATATATAGACATAAACACGAGAATCTGAGCAGCCGCCCACCCGGTCCCTCCGCTGGCCGCCGCCTCCCCGGACGGCCGAGCAGCTTAGCCACGCCCATCAGAAGAAAGGAGGCAAAAAAAAAAAAAACGCGAATGGTCAGTAAGAACACAAACACACGCGCACACACACATGCACACACACACAACACACACACATGCACACACATGCACATACACATGCACACCACACCACCAACGCACACACACACACACACACACACACACCACACACACACACACACACACACTCACCACACACCACACACACACAATATATATAATATATATATATATACTATATATAATATATATAATGTGTATATATGTATATATATATATATATAAATATATAAATATATATGTATGTGTGTATAAAAACACGCCACACACGTAAACATGTGTATATATATAATATATATATATATATATATATATATATATATATATTATATATATATATATATTATATATATGAATACATATATATATATATATATAATATATATATGTATATATATATATTATATATATATATATATATACATATTCGTGAATACCTTGTGGGTAGTTCGCGCCAAAGTATTGATAGCAGTTTGCTTTAATTTTTAGAAATGGGTATGTACAATTTTGAAAAAAAAAAAAAAAACTGGCGGTTTGATTAATTCAAACATTTTTTTAGAAATGAGCATAATTTTAGAGATTTGAGTTGCGGTTTGATTTATCGGTGTTTTTTTTTTTTTTTTTTTAATAGGATAAGCAAAACGAAGCCCCGGTTCTCAAAATTAGTTACCCAAATTGAGGAAAACATGAGGCAATTTTTAAAAGAAAGTTTGGACCAAAGCTAACGTATTCCTTTTAAAAAATATAATAGAAGAAAAGACAGCCGGTGGTCGCTTTCTATTAAAATTTCTAGACATACCAAAAGCAAACGAAAAAATTATATCAGTTTAAAAGTAACTGAAATAAGATTCGAATAGTGACCCATAATGACTGAGCGTTTCGGTAAATGCATGAAAGAAAATATGCAAGGTCTATTGTGAAATATATTAGCAAAATTATATGGCCATCAACTATAAAACATAAAATGTGTAAGCTAAAAATCTGATAGATTATAATCACTGCTTGAATAAAAATACAAATTTGGCGCCATAAAATTTCCTAAGCCGGTAAACGCCATCTGGTTTAGGGATCCGAAACTAAAGCACATAAAAGATATTTCACATTACCTAGCCTAAAAGATTAATCTTATACAAACAAATGCTTAAGATGATATAAATAACTCCACATATGTATGTTGGAGTAAACATTTATGCCATGAACTTTAGATCTACGTAGACGAAGTATTATACATACGATCACTACCCAGCTGATCTTTATTTACGTCGTCCACTATAGGGTCTTTCACTAGTATGGAGCAACAGGATATGGTAATTCACCCTTTATTTTTGCTCCGGAGATTGTCTCTGTTGCTCATGTAGTTGTAAATGAATGTTTTATTGACTATATATTTAATCTAGGATTTGGGAAGGTATTATATGAATGAAATAAGGATAAATCTTTGGTACGACAGCCCTTATGTGGATAGAACCACTCTCCATGAGTATCACCCTTTTTTTGTCAAGGATAAACCAGGCGAGCCAGACCGAGATCGTTCGTCCTTTAACTAGATTTTTAAAAATCTTAGAAGTATGTTGAATATTAGAATGTAGTTTAAACATCATTTAAACAATTTTGGGCAGTTTTACAAAATAGCTTTGCAAAACCAGTCACAATGGTTTTGGTATTAATGGATTTTTCTCACTCTCTCTTATCCAAATATGTTAACATTATACTGCGGAAACACCCCCATTAGCAGAAATCTTGGCCCCGATAGCAGGAGAGGGCATAAAAGGTATCAGGAAAATAGACCAATTTTTTGTGTGAAAATGCCGAGGAGTTGTGTAGGCGTTGCATGTTCAAACCAAAATATAATGTGAAAGAAAGGTCTAACCTTTCGCACATTCCCAGATTATGAGAAGAAGCCTGAAAAATGGAAGCGATGGGTATAGGCCATGAAACGTGTAAACACTGATGTCTGGAGCTTGGTGTAAGTTATATTTACATGAGAAGTAGAAAAGATGCAATAAGTTAATATATGGATCAATTAAACTCTTATCTTCAATAGAATGTTCTGAGCATATGTAAACATATATTCCACCAAGCGAGCATTTCATGGCCTGAACCCATTACTTCCATTTTTCGGGTTTCTTCTTGTGATCTGGGAATATGTGAAAGGTTACACCTTTCTTTCCCAACAGAATTGGTAATTCAATGTTTGGCCACTTCAAAGAATATTTGATCCAAATTTCATGAGGTAGACAATATGGATATATGGACGATTCTTTGTTTTGCTGGGGTTGGGGGTTGCAAGCGTCATAATATTGGGACTGATTCTGTGTATATTATTCTTATTTTACTCTGCAGTTTTCCTGTTACCTTTCATACCTCCCCCTGCAATAGGGGCCAAGAATGTAGGGGTGTGGGGAGGTTCCACGGCATAATTCTTACATACTAGTGTATACTAGAACGTGAGACAAGTTAAATGGTTGTAAAATTGTTGCGATAGGTTATGCGAGGGTATTGTATAAAATTACCCAATTTTGAAGCCAGCCGACCTCCAGATTGAAAAGTTTGTACTGTGTGGTGAAGATCTCTACTGTGCAATATGGGAGGATTGTAGCCGTACAAATGTGAATACAAAGGCCAGCCATGGGAAGCCAGCTGTGCACATAAAATTATATTAGTGCTTCCATGAAGCCATGAAGTTCGCATATTTTGTTTTAGCAAAGAGATTTGACTTTTTAAATACGATCATTCCAAAAATTTTATGTCCAAAATTTTGGGTAGCTAACCCCTTGAATCTAGTTGCATCGCGGCAATTACATATCAAAAGTATGGGTATTAGGTTACATGAGTGGCCACTCTGCTGGGTGTGTCGCATGTAGGCTGGGCACACGCATATACTCGTGTTCAGTGACAAGACTTTATGGCTTCCCTTTGCAAAATAATTTTGTGTGAATTTTTTTTTTTTTTTTTTTTTTTTTTTTTGACATTTTCCTCCATTCATATTTGTCTTTTGATTTGCTTTGTCCAAATGGTAATAGATTGCTTTCTTTGCACAGACTCCATATCATCTCTCAATGTAGTGAATAACAATAATTTAAAAAAAAATTAACATTTTGTTATATAATATATTTCATTCTTTCATAATTTTCAATTTTCTGTAATACAACTAGTGTCACTGGTCACATCAGCCATGAATATGACACTGACCATATAATGGCTTACAAGAATATTGCATTCCACACTCGTTTATTGGTGGGAATGATGCAAATGCTCCTTTCTAATGCCAAATGAGCCTAATCACCCTCCAAGAGGCTTGTGCACTTGTGGCATGTCTTTTTCCTCACCCTGGCCTTTGCTCATTTTTTCCCATGACAGCATATTCATGTCACCTGGCCCTCAAGCAAAATTTTCTTGTGATGTGATGGTCATGTCACCTGGATTGAAGGGGTTGATATATGTACCTGTGCAGTGATATCTTCCAGATGCGCATTTTTAACCCAATGTCGAAGGGAAAATGATGCATTCCCTTTGACAATGCTTGGTTAAATGTTTCTGCACATAGATGGCTCTGCCAATGCTTAGCCAAGAAGGAGTCAATTCGTAGATCTTGCAACCTCACTTTTCCTTGAAAAAGCGGGAAAACGCTTTTTTTTTTTTTACTACTACTACTACTACTACTACTATATTGTTACTGATATTACTAACAGCAGTATTAAATACTAGAAAATATCGAAAATCAAGGGCAAGGGTAAACAAGTGAGACAGGTAGTTCGCGTAATTGGTAACAGCACTTGTGAAGCCATCTATATGTAAAAACAGTTACTAAATTCAACACCCACAATGGGCAATGGCATCTACATACATGCCATGTCCCACAGCTTGGGATTAAGAAAGATCAGATCAGCTGAAAGATCAGCCATTCATTATTGCTTATCATCAATTGTTTCACTGGATCTTTGCCTTTTGAATGCATTGATACTCATTTGTGAATTCCTTGGATTAAGGACTAATCTGCAGCTGAGTATGCCTCTGGCCCAGTGTGGGTGTGTGGCGGTTTTGTATTTTTCACAGCAGGGCAGTCCTCACCAGTCTTACCCAATTATCCTCACAGCCTTCGCTTCCCTAATCACCCACATAACTCACTTCTTAATAGATATTATGGGTAATTTTGTACTATATAGATGCAACTCCACCTCACAAAATTTATTCAATAATATAAGTTGCCAAGACTGGCTGTGTTCTTCAAGCAGCATCCAAGGGGAAGGTTCATGGGGCTCCATCTCCAACACCTCCCTGGCTTTTCCTCAACATGCATATATATATAGATATAGATATAGATATGATATATTTATAAATATAATATATATATATGTATATGAATATATATTTATGTATATAAATATATATATATTCTATATATATATTATATATATATATATATATATATATATATTTATATATTCATATACATATACATAT